CATATCGGGAGTGTAGTCCTTAGTCACAGACTAGATTTCAGTGCTTCGGACACCTGCCTTTTGTTAGTGCCCTTTGTTTTAAGTTGTGGAAACATGTTACACTGTTATGCTAATTTTCATTCAGATGGCAGCACTGATCTATTGACTTGTTATGTGCAGGCCAACTGAGCGAGAGAGAACCGAGTGTCTCATTAAAGCCAAGCTACGCAACATCATGATGTTTCAAGACCTGGAGAACATCACTTCCAAGGAGGTATATGTCCAGAACAAGCCCTCAACAATGTGTGCGAATGGTCTAGATCTGTCTATACACTCCTTCACACTGTAACTACAGGTTTTAGAAGGAGATACTGTATATCCTGTAGCATAGATGTCTTTAACTGTTTGTGACAGTGTGGTTTTCATGAGGTTTGGAACACAGTATGTCTTAGAAATAATTCAAAGTCACCATGGTATTTTGCATAAATAGTTCAAGAGATGAACATTTGTTTAGTAAAGTAGCTAAGTAAAGTATTGGCTTCATAGTGGGAAATACACAGTGAAATTTAGTTTTGTAAGTAGAACCAGGGAGTCTGGTTTTGTTGTGCAGTAAAGATCCCATGTGTTTTTGTCGTCTGTACTGTATATCGCTGTTTCTAAAGTAAAAATTTTTCCTGTTTATCTTTGCCCTCAGATCCGTAATGAGCTGGAGCAGCATATGAGCTGTAACCTCAAAGAATACAAGGAGTTCATAGACAATGAAATGCTTTTGATTCTGGGTCAGATGGACAAAGCCACACTTATTTTTGACCATGTGTATTTGGTGAGGATTATTTTACTCTTTGTATTTGTTTCTACCTGTATGTTTTTACCTCATCTGATACTTTTATATTATTTTCTCCAGTTTTCTTCCATACTGATACTCAAATGCTATCACACTGTGGTTTATTCTGTCCTCACTAAAATACAATTAAATTCAGCCTTTAATTGTAAACCCATGGGAAATATTCTTGACCTCTGTAGGGTTCGGAGTGGAACGCTTCCAACCTGGAGGAACTACGTGACTGCGGGTGAGCTCATATGCACATGCCTTGTTGGTCTCATTTAATAGTAAATATCTTTTGCATATACAGGATTATATAAATGCAATACATGTATATTTACCTCAAAGTTGGTATCATTGGTAAATAAGGGACACTGATTAAAATGAATGATTAATAAGCAGGGAATAAATAAGTGATGCAGTATTGTTTTGGTTGCAGAGTGGGTTACATTCTGAATGTTACCAGAGAGATCGACAACTTCTTCCCAGGGTTGTTCTCTTATCACAACGTCCGTGTGTACGATGAGGATGCCACTGATCTGCTGGCCCACTGGAACGACACCTACAACTTTATTGTCAAAGCCAAGTGAGACCCTGCACGTAAAAATAAAAATATGTGAGCTGGTGCTTTTTAACAGCATTAGACAGGACAGGCAGAGGACTGGGATGCATGAATTGAGGGAGAAATTATACAGATTATAAACTGTAACATCAGAATGTTATTCAGGAAATGTTTGATTAAACTGTGTTCACACAGGACTTTGCCATTAATAGATGGAGATTGAATAATCATTTTCAAGTCATCATAGTTTACATATCATGCATTTTCCCTGAGTTCTGGGGCCGTGATCACATAGAACACATTTTTCTCCCACCCAAATGCAAGACACGGTTGAGTTGTGCTAGTAACAGAGAGGCAAAGCAGAAATGGTGCAGCCAGTCTGGTTGCTATGCAACTGTCAGAACATGTTACCCTGAAATTAAAAAGGATGTTTGTAGAAATAAAAATGGAGCAGTTAAGTTGAGATGTTCAATGTGGAGCACAGTCCTGAAAATCACCACATCCAATTTATCTGCTAATCTTTATTTTAAAAAATGTTTACACTGTCCTATCATCAACTACATCACCAAATAAGATGTCCTCCCCTGTCTATTAGGAAGAATAATTCCAAGTGCCTGGTGCACTGTAAGATGGGGGTGAGCCGGTCTGCCTCTACAGTCATTGCCTATGCAATGAAGGAGTATGGCTGGTCTCTGGAGAAAGCGTACAACTTTGTCAAGCTGAAACGGAACATAGCTCAGCCAAGTGCTGCTTTCATGAGACAGCTGGCAGAATATGAGGGAATCCTGGACGCCAGGTGAGCGAGTTTACAGTTTCAGTCAAATGTGCACTTTGCTCAGTGACTTGCAGTTGCCAAGTTGTAATTTTACTTTGCTGCAGCCATGTTTATCCAGTCTTTATGAAGCTAGTGGATACACATAGATTACATACATGCTGCTTTTGTGTGCTTGTCAGTTCTCCTCAGATGTAAACAAAAGACAACACATACTTTGCTTTTACAGTAAACACCGTCACAACAAATTGTGGAGGCCTGATACAGATGAGGAGGGATCAGACGATTTTCAAGCCTCTGGCCATTGCACTGGTGGGGAGGAGACACTGGTGCTCAGAGAGGACGAGGCCTGGGGGGGCTGTGGGGCTTCTCCCTGTAGGGGTATGGGTCTGGAGATGGAACCCCTGGACTCTCTTAACTACAATTATTACTTCAGGCGTTTGTCAGACTCTGCGCTAGACAGTGAGCCCTCCACCCCAGTACGGGGTCCTCCTCTGCTAGGTATGGAAAGAGTTTTCATTGAGATTGAAGATGTGGAGAGAGATGCCCTGTTGGAGGATGAGGGCTTCCCTATGGCCCACTTAGCTCTGCCTGGTGAGGGCACAGCTGCTCAGACTTGTGGACGCCTTGACCCCCTGGAGGATATGAGACTGAGACTCGAGTTCAGTACTTTGGAGGAGGAGGATGAGGAAGAGGCCAAGAAAGAGGAAGCTGAAATGGCAGCCTTGGCTCAAACACCCGGACATTCAGATGGGAAGAGGGTAGGGGAAGAGGCTAGGAGGACGGAGGAAAGCCGGTTAGGCCTGGCCAACCTGAATACCAATAACAGCAACCGCCTGGCTGCCAAGCGCAGTTGCCCTGCAGCTTTTGATGTGAGTTGAGACTATATAGAATTTAAACTGTGGTGAAGTCATGTTTTGTGTTTATCTATGTATTTTCATGTCAAAATCAAATGTAATGTTATTCTGCCTGCCACTGACCTTGTACTATATTCTGTCCCAATTTTACTCCATTTAGGACAGTGCTAGCACAGGAAATCCTTTAAAAGTGAAGCCCTCCTATCAGTCCTGTAAAGACTGCCTGCGTCTGCCACAAGGACGGCGCTGTGACCGTCCAGCAGGAGGCCGCTCCCATCGCCTTAACCCCTCCCGCCACTGCAATGTCCCCTCAATATACGTAGATCCGCCCGGGACCAACTTTGCTTCTACCCCAATTCTGCACTCTCTACCATCTGCTGCAGTTGTCCCTCCTAACTTGGTCCAGACCTGTACTCATCTCTTCCGCTGTGCCACCTGTGCCCCGGGTGTCCCATTAGCTAACCACCAGAAACTGGTCTCGCCCATGAGCTGTGAGGAGATGCCTCCTTACTACAGCTCAGTGGAGACAGAGGACATGGATGAACCGCAGGGGGACAACGTGGAAGTACAAATATCAAGGGAGGGTACGGGGGTTATCAGTTCGCCACAACCTGATGGTGCAGTGGCACTCCAGCAGGAAGCTTTGGACCAACTGCAAATGCCAGAACTCGGGATTGAATTTGGTCTGGAACTGATGCAACATAGGACTGAGCAGCCTGAGAAGCTGCCAGGCTTGGCCATGGAGGGCCAACTCCCATTAGGGCCCCTGCCTTGAGGGAACAGATGGAGCAGGAGCCATACCACTGCCTCCGCCACATACACTGTGATGGCTATGGGCCTTTAGATGACTGCCGCTGTGGTGTCATACCAGAAACAAAGCTGGCCTCAAGCTCCACTTTGATAAGATGCCACAGCCCTCTGTGCATTTCCAGAGCATGTCCTGACGCTGTCTACTGGCATGAAGCTCCAGATGAGACTGATTGTTTTCACAATATGGTAAAGTTGGGACTTGAGACTTTCTTGTGTCTTTGTTTGACCCTCCAACCTGATTGAGGCATGTCTGGTCTCTTCCAAATCTGCCTGTCCATCACATTTGCCCGATCATCATACTCCCCCACAGCCAAATGGAGATGAGCATTGTGCTGCCATTTAACGGAGGTTTGAGAGACAGTGATGGTTTCTAAAATCTGGCTGTTGTTCCTTTCTGACCCCTGAGACATCTACGGTCAGCATTTTGAAGTAGGTAGATAGAAAATACCTGAAGTAACATGCTTCTATCAGTGTACTATATGGTTTTCAATCCAACTCATCAACACTATCAAAAGGAGCTCAGTGAGTGTTTGCAGTTGAGGTGGTTTGATTGCATTCAGTATCTCCTCGTTACCACTGATAACTGAATCCTAATCTAACTTTACTTATTTTCTCTGCTGCAGCTGCTTTTACATCAAAGGGAGTTTCATGTGAAAGCATAATTAAAAAAAAAAAAAAAAGATCTATGTGAGCCTTTTTATGCTTCTTTGTTAAGCATGATACCTCGGACCACAAGCATCTGGGACTGTTTTGGTCAGACTGTTTTGTCTCTGCTCAGTGGCTGGTTTGGTTCTCTCCCTGACCACCTCCTGCTTTGAGGTGTAGGAATTCATGTCCTTACAGTGCTCAGTTTAGCCCACGCATGACTTTGCAGTATTACAAAACACGTCCTCAACATGCTCAGACAGGAAAAAAATGTTATAATATAGTTTATAATAAGTTTTTAATTTTCACTGAGTTCTTGAAATACTAAAAAAAAACTGGATGATAACTGTATTGAACCTAATCCCTAAAAGAAATAAACACTGAAGAAATACTTTGGAAGACATTACAAAATTTAGATAAAGGAATATTCATGGGGTTAAATAATAACTGCTGATGTAACCAAAGTCATATCATGTTGCCAGGTTTAATTTATCACTGACACTGTCCTTTGACCAGTGCCACATTTTTACCTTCTTACCCAGTCATTTAACATTCAACTATTTGATCACATGTTGAAAATACCTTCCCTAAATCCAATCTATTTGCAGAGGCACATTATGTATAAATTTAGCACTTGAGCACAGCCATATTATTTATTCCCACAGTGCACAACTACATTTAATATCTATAGTTGCATTTAATCCTAATTTAAGAACACTAAAGCAGAAATAGATACAAAAAATACTGTTAAAAAAAATTTACATTCTGTATTTCCAGTGTAGCGTTTATCTCTGCATAATTTATTTCATCTGCTAACCATCATACAGTTATAGTCAGATGCTGCTGTAAGAATTCACTGTTTTGTGAAATAAAATTCAAGTTATAAATCAGATTTATAACTTGAATTTTGCAATTATTATTACAATTTCATAATTACATATTTGCCAAATGAAATTTTTATTTAGAGTGTGAAAATGAAAATCATCAAATCAAATTTTATTTGTATAGCGCCAAATCACAACAAAAGTCATCTCAGGACACTTTACAAAGTAAGGTCTAGACCTTACTGTTATCAATATTATTACATAGGGAAAACCCAACAAATCCCCCTTGAGCAAGCACTTGGCGACAGTGGGGAGGAAAAACTCCCTTTAACGGAAGAAACCTCAGACAGACCCTGGCTCTTGGTGGGCGGCCTTCTGCCTCGACCGGTTGGGGTGAGTGGATAGAGGAGAGACAAAATGATTTCATGATTTCATTAAATACAGAACATAACCTAATTTCCTTAATTTGTTATTTAAACATTTTGTACGTGTTTCTAGCTTGAGGCATATTTTTAAACTGTTTTGTTAAAATTGTGCCACCAATCCAAAGTTGCTGTGCCACTCTACGAGTTCTTCTGCTTGGCTGATGTTGTGTTCTTACTATTTTTGGCACACTGGGTGTGCAAGAATGGTACCGAATGATGCCTGTTTGTATGCAGGAAAAGCACATGCAAGTGTTATTACTGCATTGAAAGACCTGAGCTTCAGAAGGAATGAAAATTGTGCAAAGAATAAATGCAAATCATCTTTAACCACTGGATTGTTTATTTTTGTACAGTTAGCTTTGTTTTTCATCTGATCAATAGACTTTTAGTCAAACAGCAATGCATCCTCTATTCTTTCTCCACTGGATCCCAGGGAGCTGCAGGTTTGCTCCGCTAGTTAGTGATATTATTTTACCTTTAACCTGATCTTTCCCTCATGTGTCATATGACCTTGATGGTAAAGCACCTACAGAACAGAACACTGCTGGTAGCATCTGTAGGTGCACATCTGCAAATGAACCATGAAACAGAAAAAAGTTGCAGCTACCATAAGGTACAAAACAAAAACTGAAAACACCTACAGCAGTGTTTTTCACACAACTGATTAATGAGCTTAAGGGGTACTATTAGGCAGGCTGTTTCCCTAGTTCCAGTTTGTGCTTAGTTAACCAGCCACTGGCTTCGACCTAACTTTTACTATACAGACACATTATCGATCTCAACATTTAACTTTCAGCAAAAAAAACCAAAAAAAAAACAATAAGGCTACTTCACTAAATCTCAAAGAATATATTTTATACTGTATGTTATTAATATGATTCTAACCTGACCAAGTATGTTAAAACTTGATGAGGGTCCTTGACATTCATCCTTCTGTTTGTGTTCTACATATTTACTTTTTTGGTTCATGTTTTAAATTTGTTTTTGTATTTAAGTGCCTTAACCTCGGCCTTAGCGCTGTCATAAAGCATCACAGGCTTTGAAAATTTCTGTGAGTGTGTTGATGGTCTAGCTTTTACTTACCCTCACTCCTTGCAATGTATAACCTGGCACGTACAGTAATATAATGTATACAAATACACACATGCTCATGCACAGCAGCCTCCTATCCCTCAATACTCGCATACTTGATGAACTTCCATATTAATAGCCTATAATAATATAGTATTTGTTTGATATTGTTGACACCTGTGGTCCTCTGTATTGGTTCAATAGCTGGCTGAAGAACCTTACTTGCTGGAATGGGAACTGTCATTTACATTAAACATTAGATAGGATTTAAAATTTACCATTGTATATATTTTTCTCTACAATTTACTATTGAGTACATTAGATTGCAAATGTGGTCAATATTAAGAAAAGTACTGATAATGCTACTACGTATTGAGAAGTACTTATATGTTCTCATGTTTGCATCACAGCAAAAACTGCTTCTGAGCCATCTCTAATTTAGCAAAATGTCTTCAGACTCTATTGAAAATGCTAATAATTGAATTTTTGACTGCATTATTCCCAGGTATCAATGTGACAATCCTGCATAAGAGCTGAATATTGAGGAGTTTATGAGAAAGGGCATTAAGACATATTATACATTTAAGGGTGGGCCAGGCATTATAGTGTGTGTTTATACAGCACAAGTCTGTTCAGAAGAATGTGAGCTTGAGTGGAAAGTGTAGAACTCGAAAAACCTACCTGGGACTAAGATTGTCTTACGTTCATTGTTTTTTGTTCATTTGTTACCGTACTGTACATTGCCAATGTTTGTGTAATACACTTTTTTTTTTTTTTTTTTTTTAATTTTTTTAAAATGATGTCCAGTCTAATGTTTGTCATGAAAATAAAACATTTCTTCTGTAAAGTCAGTTTATTCAGTTGATTGCTGTGCATACATCAAACACAGTCAGTTTAGCATTAATTGTTTTTATTTTCCTTACTGAGATCAGTATAGAGTTGAGATGGCAGAAACAAGTAATTTCTTGTTCTTGCATTTACCTTAAAACTTTACAAAAAGAATCTCAGAGCTTTTATTAAAGATCTCATAATCAGAGAAAATATATTTGCATTGCATTTTTTTTGGATACTTTAGTGATTATAATAATTAAACTCAAGACAATGAAATGAAAAATCTTGATTCTGAAAACTATTTTAAGGTGACCTTATTGCAGTTCACATCTGACTAGTAGAAATGCTCCTGTCTGCCACTGACCTTGATGTGCCTGTGTAGTTAAATGGAGAGGACAGAGAGTAATCTTATTAGTCAAATGAAGTCAGTCTGACATCATTGGGCAGGTGATGGCTGAAGATCTCCCAGGAAGACAAACGTCTAACAGGACGACAGGCAGACACGTCAGTTTTAAATATCAGCCTCAGTAAGTATTTACCTGTTTTAATGTATCACCCTCAGGCTCTGAGATGTTTTTATATCAGTGTTAACTCTGTTTATTACATAACCTCCAAAACAGACAATTGGACAAACAGTATTAAATGTTATTGCTAAATGCTTCAATAAAAGGGCAGGAGTCAGTAAAGTTGATTAAGTATATTGAACTATATTATAAAAACTACAGAAACTGGATTTTGAGCTGCATAAAACCCTCATGCTACTTTAAAGTAAGGACATTTGTCTTTGTTTTATAACCCTATGGCCTGCATGACAGAATGCTATGAAAATTTTACTGTCAAATTAGATAACATGTCTAAATACGGTCCTTTTGTACCATTTGAATATTTAAGCTATATATTATACCATACACTTAATGTTCTATATTTTGTTGGAAATAAACAAAACTGATCATAAGACTGGGCTAAAAGATAATGTACTCTAAGTCACAAATATCTTATAAACTCTATGCTCAGTATTGAAAGCATGGCAGACACAAGAATGGTAGAGAGAGAGAGTGAGAAGGGGTATCACAGATAGGCAGACAGGCAGCGTTGCAGTTAGAACACATCCGTCCCAAAATAACACTTGATACGAGTGCTGCAAGAGCATGCAACTGTCCAGCTGATACCAGGAACCAGAGCTGTAGGTGAACAATATCAGCTGGTTAAAGGATGAAAGCACTATTACAAATAAATAAACCAGATGGAGACACTGTGTCATGACACACCAAATGCTACTTACAGAGTGAGCTATTTTAAACATTTATTCATTACTTTGAGCTAATCTGAACTGTTACTTTTAACTATATATTGTAACCATTTATATTTAGCTAACTACAGTGCCTTGCGAAAGTATTCGGCCCCCTTGATCTTTGCGACCTTTTGCCACATTTCAGGCTTCAAACATAAAGATATAAAACTGTAATTTTTT